AGAGATATGACAACACAGAACTCAGCACTGCTGTGTTTACCTTCAGTTCAGAGATGAAAAAAATAAAAATCATCATAAAAGAAGCTTTAACAAAGCCTGTATAGGCATTGAGGACTATGCTTGCGACTTCATCACCTTGGCATCTGAGAAGCAAGCTCTGCTTTGCTCGGTAAAATCTGATTAAAATATAGCTGTAAGCCGGGCATTGGTGGCTCAAGACTTTAATCCCAGCACTCAAGAGGCAGAGGCAGGTGGATCTCAATGAGTTTGAGGGCAGCCTGGTCTACAGAGCAAGTTTCAGGACAGCCTTCAAAACAATACAGAGCAACCCTGTCTCAAAAAACAAACAAACAAACAAAATAAAAATATATATAGCTATAATTATTTATTCCAATGTCAATGGCTGCTTATTTGCTTTTGCTGAAGTGTCATTGTCAAGTTGTGTAGACAGAGACCACATCTGTCTAGCAAAGATAAAGATATTTATACTGGCTCTTACCGAATTTTCTTATTGCTGCGGATAGATATACAATACATAGAAATATATATGACATATATATGATATGAACAAAGCTATTTATGACTGAGTTAAAGTTGTACTTATTGAATTACATTGTAAAGTGTGTGTGACTATCTGACTGCGTCTTTGCATCTGTGTATACATATCCAGCTACCATCTCTCTGTGTTTACAAGTCTCATAGAGGACAAGGTATCATCAGCCTATTACTTTTCATTGAAAGTATAGTGATGCAGTTTAGCTAACCGTTCACACAGTAGTTAACATGGGTCTTTGCCAATATAAGTGACCATCATATTAAGTGGCTCAGATAACTTTTTTGAAGAAAAGTTGTGATCTTTCACTTAATAACTCCATAAGCATGATGATAAACTGTTTTATTGCTGTACTAAAGGATGGCACCAGTGATGCTTCAGCCTGCGGTGAACATCAGGAAGAATCCATCTGCCACTGGGCTTGGGATAGACAACAAACACAGCAAAGACCCCTTTGGGAGCTGAATAAAAGTAGTAGAAACACTTCTGAATAGAAACGTTCAGAGCCCAGTAAACATCTGGGAGATTCTACTTTGATTAAAAAAAAAGATGTCTTAAGAATTTATTAAAATGTTCACTTAAATGCTATGTGTTTTCATGTGTGTGTGTGTGTGTGTGTGTGTGTGTGTGTGTAGTTACATACGTACACTCATGTGTGGAAGCCAGAGGTCACTTGTGCATCTTTATCAGTCACGTCCTAGCTTATCTCCTAAGAAACTCCTCACTCCACCCAGAACTCAGTGACTGTGCTAGGCTTTGTGTCCAACCAGTTCCAGGCATCCTAGTGCCTCCATTCCCCTACAGCTGAGAAAATGAACACATCCACCCAGCCAGCTTTCTCTGAAGGTACTGGGGATCCAAACCGAAGCCCTCAGCTTTACATGGAAGCACACTGCTAAGTCATCTCTACAGCCCTTAATTTAATTTCAGTGTTCTATATAAATCTGATATGTGAATATACTTTTGCAATAGAAGTATAGTAAAATATATTTCTTCACTTAAGCTATTTTCTCAGTTGTGTATCTTCAAGCAGGTTTCTCAAGGAAGTTTTACAGGTGACATTTCATAAGATCCTACATATTTAAGTATGTTATCTCCTTCACCTACATTCATAAAAACTTCATGACTTGTTTCTAAATAATAATGGGGATCATAGCTCTCTGCTCTCAGAAATCATCAAATACTGTTGCACTGGGTCTTGACACCTGATCTTGTAGAGCAGGTTTGGGGCAACCTGCTCTAGCACATAGAGTAAGCAGCAACACTGTAGACCTGGGAACCTATGAGTGTTGCCTGCAGGATTGCACACATGCTGTGTTCCCTAAGAATGTTTAGTCACTTAGCTGCTTCCAGCTCTTGACCTACACAGACAGCATCATTGTTATCTTCCTCTTTTACTGTCCACACCTTTGTTCAGCACTGAGGAAGAATGTCTCACAATTGCCCTCCATATGACTAAAAGGACACTTGGGGTCATGCCCTCCATATGGCACTTGGGGCCACGTCTTTTGTGCTGGCACGGTGGGTTTTATTTGGCTTTTGACTGTTCACAAGCCACTCACCCCTCCACTGTCATGTCCATGTCCTTTTTCCTTCCCATGGCCTTCTCTTGGGGACTGATGACGCTCCTAGTGACACTGTCTCCCCACACTGTGAAGATGACTGGCCCCATTTTCTGTGATTGCTCTCCTGTTTCCCTTTTGAATCTTTTGTAATGCTGCTTTTTCTTTACAACATTTTAAAGGTTGAGTTTTGAGTTTTTAACAAGTTCTAACAATAGATGATTTATATAAAAATTGTACTGGAGGCAGCAAATCTTCACTGTCCCCAGGCAGCTTTCAAAATCTATCAGGTTTTATTCAGTTGACTTTCCTAAGATTGAAATACGTTTCTTATGAACAATCTTCGGTCCTAGGTCCAGTGCCAGCCTTGGGACTCCATCCAAACTTTGCAACAGTCTTCTGCATGTGTTAGTGAGTATTTGCTACAGAAGTATTTGAAAACAGCAAAGATACAGAAAAGTAGGGGACCAGGAAGTGAGGGCACATTGCAATTTTAAAGGTTAAAAAAAAGGCAACAGAAAATTTGATGGCTTGTAGTGATAAATTCATCAGCCTGGAGCCTTTCCTTATCCAATCCTTACTGTTGCTCCTGGTTTTTCCACCAGTGAATGGGCTGGGCAGAGAAGCATTACTAACATGATGACAGGGGTTGGAGAAAGGAGCAGCTCTTCAGCATAGGGGGTATTTTGGATAGACAAAGGAAGAAATGGGAGTCTTTCTCTTAAAGAGTTTGTGTATTTCATTCACTAGTTTGTTGTAGCTTTAAATAAAATGGTATTAATGACATACCAAGCAAGCTTTACAGTCCCCAGATGAGTCTAAAGTAAGATATATCAAATATAGAACGTAGCATAGCTATATTTTAGTGAGTGGCCAGATTTCTATGTGTTGTGGAAATACATTCATTGTCCCTTCTCTGTGCCTTTAGCTATTTTCTTAGGGATTTGGAAACTATGTTACATGGAATTCCTTAGATGTAGTTTTGGGGGTTAGGCCCAGCCATCACCTCTTACATCTGCCTCACTGAGCAAATCTTTATACTTCTCAGCTGAGTGATGGTCTGTGCCCTGCCTGGTACCCTGCTTCTTTCTCTTCCATCACGTGTCTCTGGGTCTTCCATAGTCGGTGGAGATGCCCGACTGTGTCACATCTTCCCATGACCTGAGAACCTGTCTCTGATCTTATTTCTATGTCCTGGTTTTCCTCATCCAGCAACCCTAAACACCAATCTCTGTCTTCCTTCCAGTTTTTGTTTCTCTGGATCCACACCAGTCTCATTAAATCCAAGGCCTTCTTAACTTTTCGTAAGTTCCATTTTCTTCTAAAACTTCTCCTTTTGTGATAAACAATAGTGGTTTACTTATTACTGCTCTAACCACCCTTCTGTGATGCCATTTCTGGCATAGGGCATTTTAGAATCTCCTGGGACTAGAGTCTACTAAATGGCCCAATATCACTAGTCCTAGCTGTATGTCTGTTGGCATGAAACAGGAACTCATGCACAAAACATCCTACTCTCTACTGTATTTTTCAGCAATTATAGAATTACAAAATTGTGGAAACATTGACAATTATCTGAGATTGTGGACCTCAGATGTGTTTTTCATGATACAGTATGCTGGATTTTTAAGTCATTACAGGCTTCTTGAAAATGCAGAGAATCAGATTATCTAATTAGTCATGGTTCAGAGATGCTCTTACAAACCAATGAACTCACAAATTCTCCTGTGTTATTACAGAAATTGATTTGATTTTATTGTAAAAATTACTCTCCATTAACATACTTTATTGGCCATCTTACATGGTTTTTGGACCAAGTATTGAAAGTCTTGCTTGGCTACATAGTCTGTAGTCAAAGCTACTCTTCTTTAATTCAACTAGGAACCAAACAAAAGTAGTCCTAAACAGACAAGGTAAAGACATGAGTCAAAACTACAAAGCTTTGCACAAGAAAGGCAAGTCAAGATACAAAAGTGAATCATATATGCAATTTGTATGTGTGTGAAGCATTGTACCCCTGTATTTGAATATATATTCATGTGTAGATGAGCAAAGGTCCACACTTGGTGCTTTCTTCAGTCACCTTCCACTTTCTCTTTAGAGACAGAACCTCTTGCAGACCCTGGAACTTCACCAGTTGCCCCCAGTCTCTGCCTCCCCAACGTTGGAATTTCCAATCAGTGCTACCTGCTATTCCAGTCGGACACTGGGGAGTTCCTGTAGGTCCTAGGCTTCACAGAAAGCACTCAAACTATCTCCAGAGACCCGCAATTTAAAATTTTATCTTTTTAAATTTAATTTTATTATTTTAATTTTAAATAGCTTGCTTCACATGTCAATCCCAGTTCCCTCTCCCTCCCCTCCTCCCGCGCCCCCTACCATCCCCATAGCTTCCCACCCTATCTTCACTTCCTTCCACATAGGGGATATCTAGAGTCTGTCATTTCACTCAGGGCAGAGTACAGGCAATCCCATAAGAGTCCAGGCTGAGAGAGCATCCCTCTTTGTGTTATGGACACATGAAGTCTGTTTGTATACCAGGGATAAACACTGATCCACTGCCCAGGGCCTAATAGGTTGCCCAGGCCCCCTCACTGACTCTCACACTCAGGGATTCTGGATCAGTCCCATGCTGGCCTCCCAGCTGTCGGTCTGGGGTCCAAGAGCTCTAAAATTTTATCTTATCCGTACTAGAAAAGTAAAAAAGCAGTTGAGGTCAACTTTAACATCATTAGCAGGTATGAGAGGTAACCTATGTGCTAATTACCCAATGTAACCATTTCTCAATTTGAGTTCTTCAAACAACATAGCATATTAGATATCTATGATATATAACTTAGGTAAAACATGGAGAAGAGATGTGAGAGAAGATTAATTTCTCTTACCTGCACAAGTCTTCCTTTATGTGAAGGGAGATCAGTTCCTTGGGAATATGAAAGGAAAGAGTGCTCTCTGACATCTGCTCGCGAATCTGCATCCACTTATTGTCAGACGTGGGGAATCTGTACAACTTACACACAGGGTTCTTCAGCACTGGGCAGGAAGAAAGAGTGGCAGGAGTTAAATGGAAAGCAAATGTATATCGCTAGACGCTCAGAACGAAAACCACCAACCATTGCTTTTCCATTTAATAGACAAAAGTCCTGCTTATCAGCATCCATTAGTGAACTTGCATTTTTAAGAATTGTGTTTTCTTACATCATATTTTGTCATTAACTTATGGAACTCATAGTTTCTGTTGAATTTGATAAACGTACCTGAGAATTCAATTAATAAATGCTTCTTCACTACCTATTCATTTCTTTGCCTTCAAATGTTTTTTAAAACATATGCACCTGTAAATATAGGTGAAAATGCAAGTGCATATACGTAAAACACACTTGGAACACATTTAAAAGCCTTCTGTGATTGCTCTTAGCTTTACGTACTTAGGTAAGTGACGATATACATGTTATATCGTAAATACTTGAAATTCTTTTCAAAGGCCCTGCTAGTTAAAATTTTTATATAGCAGAAAGGTTTATTTCTTTGTCTTAAGATCTGTAAAATAAATATTGTACATATCTTCTAATGTCAGTATGTCAATATCACACTTTCTTAAACCCACGTATTATCAGAAGCAGATCCTTGACATTGGAAAGACATAGTATTTAGGGCAGGTGACCAGTGTTTAAAGAGTAACTATGTCACACCACCAAAGACTCAGGAGCAGAGGGAAGGGTCATAAATTAACAGTATATATAATATACTGTTATACTTTATGAATCCAAACTCACAACACACTCAAAATCATACATTTGAGGGTAGAAACCTCTTCCGATTGCTACTGGGCGATAGCGCCATTTATAACACTCATACACCAAAGCTTAAAGGGTAGAGCAACTTCAGTATGTAGAGTGAGTCAGTTCCAGTTTAGCAATAGAATCAATTAAAACTATTAGTAACTGTTGACGTGAATCTATCAGATTGTAAGCAATTGTTAGCATAGCACATGGATTAGGTCCCCTCAACATAAAATGGAAAAGGTCTTTCAAATCTTTAACATTCTTCGAGAATATCATATCTCATTTGCTACTTGAATAAAGATGAAATTTCATTCCTAACCTTTGAAATGAGAATATGTATACCCATACATCTGTAACCATCTCAAAGAAAACCTCTGAACATTATCCTCATGAATATGTATATATCTTATCAGAAATCTCGATTCCAAATGTCATTTTTATTTTGTATGCATATCCATATATATATATGAGCACGTAATATGTACATGTATCAAATGTTCACAAGTATGCAATGGTCCCACCTGTGCATGAGCTCTTAGAGGACAGAGGGGGACATCAGGTATCCCCATTTATCACTCACTGTTTGAGTTGGAGACAGTGTCTCTTATTGACACCAAAGCTAAGCTTAGAATACATAAGTTTCCCAGCCATCCTCCTATCTCTTCTCCCGCCTTCCAGCACTGGACTTTCCCTTGCAGAGACATGGCTGTCTCTGGCCTTGTATGTGGATGTTGGAATCTGACTCAGCTCCCCATGCTAACACAGTGAGAACTCTCATCCACACACAGTTCTGAATTCTCCAAATGTCAAACCAGCAAACTAAAGTGTTCTAAAAGACTTCTGCATCCATGACAAGAGTTAGAAAGAAGGTTCATCCTCTACAGGACTGAAGAGGGGAAGAGAGGGGAGGGGAGAGGAGGGGAGGGGAGGGAGAGAAGAAGAGAAGAGGGGAGGGGAGGGGAGGAGAGAAGAGACAAATAACAAATTCAAGAAAATGTCACTCTGGTTAAATTGTATCTGGTAAGATCTTATAAATTCATATATGATTACTTTGTTTAGAAAAGTGATGCTCTTTTGTGGTGAAAACAAACCTTAAAATCTGAGCTGTCTAAAATACTAATGTATGAAAACATTAATCATTTAGGTATTATGCATCCTCTTCATTGCTATGCCTTAAACTCCCCTTCTCAGAGTTACAAAGCATCTTTCTCTCCCAAACACTTACAAAGACTCCTTGGATATTTCTTGCCCTTTAAAATCAGTAATTATTTTTTCATAAAATTCAAATTTTGAGTTCTGTCAGAAAACATAAAGCTTTCCATTGTCTCTGATGAGTCCCAAACAAGCCCTTCACCTTTTGATTTCTTGTTTGATTTTCATTTCAATGCTTTTCAAGTTTTCCAAATATAAACCTGTTTTGAAATATTTTAAAGTCGAAAACAAGGACAGTTTGATTAATGAACACTAGAGAAACTCTTCTCTGACCACTTTGCATACATCATCCACAGATTCCAAAAACCTGCTGCTGGTGTCGGAGGAAACTTGTAACAACAAAGTGCACACACACACACACACACACACACACTCATACACACACACACACTCATACACATATACACACATACATAGAAACACAAGCACATGCATAAGCATACACACACACAAACACATACATACACATATACACACACAACACATACACACTAATGCACATAATATACACAAACACACACAGCAATACATTCACACACAAACACACTACACAAAAACATGTATGTAACACACATATACACACAAACACATTCAAGACACACATTCACAGAAACAAACACACATACACACAAACACACTCACAACCCACACAATTCTGGTAACTTAATCATGAAAGAAAATCACTATACGAATGTTTCCTATGTAACTTTTATGTCATGGGTGCTGATATGTGAGGCCTGGGTTTCCCAAAGCAGCACTACACTGCATATGTTTGTCAGAACACAGACGTGATGTGTTATGTTTTGTGTCTGAAATGACTCTCAAAGTCTTGTGTATTAAAGACTTGGTTGCCAGCCCGACACCTGTGGAATGGGGGCAGAACCAATTATGGCATTGTCCCGGAAACTACCAGACATCACTCTGCCCTCACTTTCGCACTTTCTCTACTTTCTGGCTACAGTGAGTTGACCTACTTTGCTCCATCACGCACTCCTCGCCGTAATGTTCTGTCTTGCCACAGGCCCAATAGTATTGAAGCCAACTGACCACACTAACATCAAACTCCCAGTTCAATTGTTCAGATACTTTGTCACAGTTATGGAAAGTTAGCATGGGATCCTCTTTGCAATTCATCTTACTCCAACAAATTTCCTTTATGAGCTGAGTCTCAGACAAGGATACCTCTTCTAATCATAAAATACCATAGACTGGAGCATGAGTCTAAAATTGAAGGAAAAATAGATGGCCTGATCTCTAACCATGAGAATATTCTGGGCGATCAAAAAAATACAGATAAGATGATCTCAACTCAAACTTTTGCTGTGCCTATAATGGCAAGGTTTCAGGTTATCACATAAAAGGGACCCATGGGACTTGTATACCAAACACTAAGCTATGTACCAAAATCCTGTGTGTGTCTGTCAACTCTTTCTCCAGTCATTCTGTAAACACACTCCAGCTGTGTAAGTGAATATGGGACTGGGACCTTGAACTCTGAGTCTCCATTATGCCCCTTGTTTATGCTTTTCTGGATATACAACAGGCCTACCCCTTTAATAATAGCTGTTCAGAATTTAAGATGAGTCATAGTTCAAAGCTTTGTTCATTTTTATGTACATCTGTGCATGCTTGTTTGTGTGTTGCAGAATATATAACTATAAAATGTGTTGCTGTTTACCTTTCCTACCTAAGGCATCTGATTTGTCTAATAAATAGTTGAATAGCCAATAGCAAGGAAGGAGGTATGGGCAGGACTTCAAGGCAGGGAGAATATGTTTGGGGAGGAATCTAGACTCAGGAGAGAAAGAGAAGAAAGAAAAAGAGACACCCTAGAAATGCCAGGGGCCAGACAGACAGATATGGAAGAAATAGGAAGTAGGACATACACAATGAAAGAAAAGTAAAAAGTCCTAAAACAGAACATAGATGAAGAGAAACAGGCTAAATTAAGTTATAAAGGATAGTGGGACAAGCCTAAACTAAAGCCAATCATTCATAATTAATAATAACTCTCCATGTCTTTTGCAGGGAGCTGGTTGGTGGCCCAAAGAAAATTCCAAATACATTTGCACTTATATGCCTCGTGTGGATGCAGGCACCTGTGGAGGCTTGAAATACGTGTTGGATACCCAGAAACTAGAGTTATGAGCAGTTGTGAGATGCCTGTTGTAGGTGCTGAGAACCAAACCCACTTCCTCTACAAGAGCAGTAAGTACTCTTAATTACTGAGCCATCTCTCCAGCCCTGCATGAGTCATTTTTAAAGACTGTCTAAATGTATACCCATTTCCATATGTATTACTCTTTTGCCAAAGCAAAGGATAAAAATACCATATGACAGATTCCACAGAGAGAAAAGCTCTTGAGATGTTTTGCGTCATGCCAGCGTTTTATGACAACTTAATGAGTCTTGTTCTAAACTGGCCCAGATCTCAACTGATACATTACCCTCTTGAGGTCCAGCCCCAGGCAAGCACAAGAACAGAGAGTAAATGGAAGATTTCTGTCAGTTTAGTATTTCTATTCAAATGCTGGTGTCATCTCTCCCACTCTCTGAATGCACTAAAAGGTGGCATGCCACCTGCTTTCCACAGGATTCATCAATTATAAAAGTCAAGCTTTGACAATCCTGAATAATTCAAAGATGCCAAGGAAATGTGCAACAAAACCAGGACAGATAACACGTAAAAGCCCTCTGTTTCAGCAACCTGGGGCAAAAAGACAAATCAGAATCACCAGGGATGTTTTCCTCCTGTCTGTTTCTAAAAATCAAAAAAGTATGAAGTGTTATCAGTGGGCTAACTGGAGTTGTGACATGTGGCCTGGGATCCAAGGACCACCAGAAAGTATTATTGCTTATTCTATCTTCTATCAGGTTCTCTTCATATACTTCTCTAGAGGAAGTAGCATCTGTGCTCATCTTGATGCCCCACATGGCTGCCAAGAGGAGGTAAAAATGACTTACTTAAGTAGGAATTCATGTCATTGTCTTCAGATCTTCCACACTGATGATTTTAATGTACCGTGGGACCGTGGA